GACGAAGAGGTGGTGAGTGTCGATTCTCCTTTCACGGGTCTTTTCCAAGATTTGGCGCATGGTGAATATCTGGTCGGTTGTTGATTTTCCACGTCTGAAGCCACACTGATAAGGTCCAATCAGTTTGTTGACGGTATGCGATATTGAGGAGGCTTATCCCACAATAGTTGGCGCAGATTGTGGGGTCTTCTTTTTTTTGGGGATTGGGAATAGTACACTTAAATTCCAATCGTTGGGCATGCTTTCGTCCGACCATATTTTACAAAGAAGCTGATGCATGCTCCTTATCAGTTCTTCGCCGCCGTATTTGAATAGCTCGGCCGGCAATCCATCGGCCCCCGCCGCTTTGTTGTTCTTCTGCTCCATCATCATCGATTGGGGAATCGTGTTCTCCTTCTCCTGGCGTTGTGCGTTCACTACCATTCAGCAGGCTGGAGAAGTGTTCCCTCCATAATTTAAATATGTTCTGGGCATCGGTGACTAGATCACCTTTGGGAGTTCTACTAGAGTATGCTCCGGTCTTGAAACCTTCTATAAGCCGCCGCATTTTTTCGTAGAATTTTCGAGCATTACCCCTGTCGACCAGCTTATCAAGCTCTTCGTACTCACGCATTTCGGCCTCTTTCTAATTTGTCTGCAAATGCGTCTCGCTTCCCTCCTCAACTCTCGGTATCTATCCCATCCCGCACGTGTTGTGGTCGATCGTAACGTTGCGGGGTAGGCAGCCTGTTTTGTCTTCGCTGCGACACGACGCTCCTCGTCGTACCAGCTGTTCTTTTGTACTTTCCGAAAACCAATGGTTTCGGTTGCAGCTGTACGTAAGGAGTTTGAAATGACGTCCCACAGTTGCCTTATACCGAGTTGTTGACGAGTGCTCTCAGAGAGCAGGAGTGCAGGCCGAGTATAAAATCGTTCGGCTGTCTGTTGTGATTGCAGCTTCTCGACGTCAAACCTTCCTTGTGTTTGATGGCGTTTACCATGGTCGTCATCAAAAGTGGAGTCTCTCATCCGAGGCTGTTCTTGCGTTTTCATTGGGTTGGTTTTTTTACGTGGCGGGTCCCAAACCCAGCGCAAAACCCTATGCAGGAAATGTTTCGCCTTCTCACATTAGCTCRCCTTCAAACGGATGTTCTTAGGCTACCCAGAGGATACTTGGTCAAGGAACGGAAGTCGTGAGCTGCTTGAGTCATATATAAAAGAATCGTTTCTGGCCACTCCCAAGTGAATGGCGATCAGAGAACTTTCCTCACTTGCGTGAACTTCTACACATGACTCCATCCTACAAAGAATCACAGATGTTAATTCGGTCCAMTAAATTTTTCACAGAGAATTTATRTGGTACCCATTCTTTTGTAGCCAGCCATTTTTAAATGGTTCAAAACCGTTTGATGATGAATGTTAAGTTCCTTAGCGATGTCATAGCCGCTTATATGATGGTCCTGGTCAATCTTTTTCATAATTTCATCGACTTTTTYAATCAGAGGTCGACCAGATCGAGGTGCATCATTCACATCAAAATTTCCAGAACAGAAACTAGCGAACCATTGTTGTGCTATACGAACTGATACAAATTAAAAAAAAATAATAATTTTTTAGCCATTATAGTAAATAAATTAAACAAAAGTTCCCCAAAAAATTAGCGACTTATCCTAGTATACCCAAAGCAACTAGGCACTGCGGTAATAACATTTTARCATGCCAGTTATTGGGTAATATTCTTGTGTTTCTGCAAGTAAAGTTTACTGAGTAAAGCGCATCGTTCTTTAGCCGCGTTCGCGCAGTTCAACTCTTTGACTTCGCTGTCGTCACTTTACATACAAAATAAACACACACACATGGAAATGTATAATATGTATTGCATATGCTGTTTTTAACTTTATTTGGTTGCCTAAATTTTGGCAAATAATTAAGTGCGGCTTGTAAGCTGCCGCAAGAATGTCATTGACAGCGTATCAACCCTCTYGGTGCGGTCTCTGTACACTTTATGGCGATCGGCGATCTGTTGGCGCATTCGCGGCTGCGTGGCGAGGTCGTGTAGGCAATAGAACCTGTTGAAGCGCTTACACAAACAAGTACACAGACTGTAAACAAATTCTGAACGGTTTCAAGTGTTCATTACAAAAAAAAAACAAAAGACTTAGTCAGCAACAAATCAGGTTAAATGGTGTCGGCTTGATTTTGTTTAATAATTTTTACACTTTTTAGTAACTTTTGTTTCAGAAATTTGTTGACTTAATTTACTGAGCAGCTAAACAAARAATAATAAATTTTCTAAAATTTGTGCCTTTTAATTTTATACTTTCACCACAAATTTTTGAAGTCGTATGGATATATTTTTTTAATATTCCTTATCAAATTTTTGTTGCCGTGAGCAAAAACAAAGGAAGAATATTTAAATATGCATTATATCTATATGTTGATATTGCATCGGCTGTCAACCTAAAAAAGCATATATAGAAACAAGATTACTTTGTTTTTTTTGTACTTTAAGGATTTTTTTTTCCAAAAAATACTTTTTCAAGMACTCTTACCAAAATAAAGATTTCTGGAGATTTTTTGACTACAGTTTACCTTTGAGTCCCATTTAGTATCGTGGTCATATGGACACTGATTTGATAAATTTGGGTAAACTATAATTTAAACATATTTTTAACAGAGTTACCTTCTATCAAAAAATCGTCATGCCTTTAATAACGTCTTCTTTCTGTTGAAGTTTAAAACAGAAATTTTTACGTTGTGTTCTTTTATTAAAAAATTTAATTAGATTAGAGTTACCATTTACAACAAGACAAGCAAAAGTAGCAAAAAAGCCACTTTGTCTGAAACTTCGTTCAGTATCGAACGGCTCGGAGAGGTCCTTCCAGTTCCTGACGGAGTATTAGCTTTGCGGGGATACCAAGTTTAAACATAACAACATAGAGACAGCTACTTTTTGAGCTGTCAAAAGCAGCTTTGAAATCGACGAAGAGATGGGGTGTGTTCATCCTTTATTACTGGTCTTTTTCAAGATGTCTGGTCAGTTGTGGCTTTCCCAGACCTATGAAATCCAATCAATTGGTTGCCGGTGGGCTTTAATATTTCACCCAATACGCTCGATAGAACCGCAAA